ATATATATGCAGGCTGTTCCCACAGCATCAAAAACAGCAGCCTGCACATTGGCTGTCGGTGCCTTCTGACGCACAATCAGTGGTGTAGTGGAGGGTATATGCAGGTATATGGAGTATACCCACCTCTTTTCTGGCCATTTACATTCTACCCACTGAAAAAGACTGAAAGTACAGTATACCCACTTCCTCCTCGGTACCCTATCCATCTACCTGGTAGTACACCCACCTCATCAACTACCACTACACCACTGCACACAGGGCATCCTCTCGCGTCTGTATGAAACGCTAGCTAACCCTACACTTTTCAGGGTTTGATTTTGGTTTTGGAACAGGGAAGAAATCTTTTTCCAACCTCTCCAGGTAACGAGTATCATTAACACATGACGTGCCCCAGGCACAACATTTAGCTCCACATCCACAAAACCAGCCTGAAAATGAAGGAAATCTGAAACGACTGAATTCGAGTCAATGGAGCACAGCTGTGTTGTGGTCAGACCCTGGTTTGAGCCGGCCTGATGCTACATTATGATTGGCCAGTCTGCGTCTGGGGGCGGGACTGAACGAAGGGTCGATTATCCATGTAACAAAATATAAATGTTGCTTTTGCACCAAGCAGGCAGAACAACGACAGAAAGAAAAAGAAAAGTGAAAGCTGCAGATCCTGACCAACGAGGTGCGGAGGGATTCCTCAAAACTTCAGGCAGTCTGGAAAGTCTGAGCGTGACATCCCTTGTAAACGCACTTCAGTTCCCACCAGCTCTCTAAAGACACTAATAACTTCACTGTAACTGTGCGTGGCTGTTAGCGCTGATCTCTGTGAATCTGTTTGTTTCTGCATTGAGGCTCATTTGCATTAAAAAGGGCCAATGTTGCACCCAGTGGCTGCTCATCACCTAATTTAAATATGTGCAAACAGCACAGGAGCAGCAACAGAGATGCTGTTTGCTTTGCAGTTTCAGGGGTGCATTCATCCTCAGCAGGTGCTTTGAGAATTACACCTTTTCTTTTTGTCTTTTTTGTGCAGGTTTAGCGGCCACAAAAGCCGCACAATCCTTTTGTGAATTTGCCCCTTAAAGTCTCAGCAAACCTGAGCATTACAAGCCGTTAAAGGTAGAAACTGTTCCTCCAGGATTGAATGTGACTGCACAGGTGTTCATGATATTGTGCACCCACACCCCAACCCCTCCTTGTGGGTTTGAGAAAGACAGTCAGACAGATAAATCTCCAGAGAGGCTAAGAGTCCACAGCGAGGAGAGACAAAGACGGAGAGTGTTGGGTGAGAAGCAAGCAGGCTGGTCTCTCAGGACTTCATTAGTTTTAATTCCTCTCGCTCTGCTCCGTCATGATTAACACTAGCCTTTTTGCCCTCCAGAGAGTAAAAACCAGCCTCCCTCGCAACCGCTCGCCTTCGCATGCTGACAATCAAGTGAGCATTTAAATAATCTACACAACGACTGAGAGATAATAGACTTGTTGAAGAAAATCCTCACAGAGTCGATGAGATGTATTGAGTCACCTGAGATCAGCCGAGCGGCGGTCACTGCGGAGGTTTTGTTGATTTTTCCGAACGATTTAAATATTTTAAAAATGCTTTGAAAAGTTAAAATATGAACAATCCGTGACTTTTCTATCATTGGGGGGTTTAGAGAAGGCAACTTGTAAATAAACTTCATTATCCTCCAAACCTTTTTATACTCCTGTCCTGTCACCTGAGTATCTCAGTGGGACTGAACTCAAACAAATCTCTTTGTTCTCACTCACAGACATAATTATGAAATCGACGGTTCTGTGTTTCAGCTCCGTCTATTGCCTCATTATGCTCCAATTTAAGTTGACTAATGTTGTGACACTTGGAATAATTACGGCATTAACAGAAGATGGTAATTAGAAAAAATATAAACGATACGAGCCACAAAAAAAGGAGATTTGTGGGTTCTTCACATAATGAAACACTGAGTTTTTTGTTCCCAACAGTGCCCTTGGGCTGTCTGTCTATCTGCCTGCCTGTCTGTTACTGTATTCGAGGTACTTTGGCATCAACCATGTTAAATAACGCCTCACATCTCGCCAATTCTCTGCTGGCGCTGGGACAAAGCCTCGGAGCCGACAGAGGGTTTGGATGAAGGAAACAATGAGATGATTTTTCTCCAGCAGTCAAATGAAATCTTAACCATGAGACGCCGTTTCATCAGGAAAAGAAATGCTACAACAACCTGAAATACAGCAGCGCGACGATGATGTTTGTCACACTTTAAAGTTTCCACAATTATTTTTCAGGTTCTTCTTGTTGGTTGTTATTTTTTTTGGCACCTTTGGAACCTTGAGACGTAGAAAAGCACATTACAAAAATAAGTGGGTGTCCACAAAATGTTTTCGTTCCTCCTGAAATCATGTTGTTTGTCGTGTGGATGTGTTCCAGAAAACCATTTACTATTCATAAAATCCACAAAACAATTCTGAAGGAAGGTGTGAGTGATGAAATCTAATCTCAAATCTTTCTTTATCTTCAGCCTCCATCTTTTATCATCACGAGTGTCAGTGATTTTTGACTGATTGACTTTCTTTAGCTCTGTTTCTCTTTGCATTGTAAAGCACTTTGAATCAACTCTTGAGTTTGAGTTTGAGGTAAATAAAGGTAAGTTGACTGACTGATTTAACTGTCCGAGGTCACATGTTGCTCAGCTGTAGGAGCTTAAAAGAAACTAGACAGCCACAGGAAAGATGATCACATAACACATCATGATGTACAGATACACAAATTACAAAAGAGACCTCATTTATGATAAAGGCACTCTGTTTTAGCTGCCATGCTTTTTCTATAAATCTTGCCAAAACAACAGCCTCATTATATCAACATATCAGGCTTGGTATGGGACAATAAACTGTTTTATAGCTTATCACGACAAAAAACAGTCACTATAGGTTGATCATGGTAAATTTTTGTTAATATCATGTCCAGCAGCGCCCACAGAGACTGCTGGGCAACCAACAATAAAAGAGACTCTGCTAAAGAACACAGGCTGTACACACACCAACCTTAAACGGTTTATTAGCCTGGCTTTTTAAGATTGTGTGATTGTTTGCTCTTCAACAAAAAACATGTGTCCAACTGTGATGCAATGAAAATGTTTGTTTCTTATAAACATGTAAGGTAAGAGGGGGGTGGAGCCTATCCCAGCTGACACTGGGTGAGAGGCAGGGTTCACCCTGGACAGGTCACCAGACTATCACAGGGCTGACACATAGAGACAGACAACCATTCACACTCACATTCACACCTACGGACAATTTAGAGTCACCAATTAACCTGCATGTCTTTGGACTGTGGGAGGAAGCTGGAGCACCTGGAGGAAACCCACGCTGACACGGGGAGAACATGTGGGAGCACCTGGAGGAAACCCACGCTGACACAGGGAGAACATGTGGGAGCACCTGGAGGAAACCCACGCTGACACAGGGAGAACATGTTGGAGCACCTGGAGGAAACCCAAACTCTGCACAGAAGGGCTACATTTGACTATTTAATAGATTTGACTATGTGTTCCTTAAATTTCCATACATATTTTGAAAGGACGTTCAGGAGGACAGTGACATTTAGTATGCTTATGATAGTTCTGAAACATTTTTTTCTGACACTAAATATCAAACAAAAGCCAGAGAATGTATCGCATCAAGTTGCTGTGAGCTGTAAATTCAAGCAAAGGGCAGAAGATCTCAGAGCCTGATTAGACAAACCCTCTCCTCCTCCGGGCAGCTGCCTCCGTCTCACTCAGACTCACCCTGGGTCTGGGTCTGCAGCTGCCTGTACTGGAGAGTAGAGTGAAAATGAAGAGTGCTGACTGCAGCTACATCTGGGGACTGAAACGTCCCTTGATGTACACTGATCAACTTGAGAATCTCAGTGAGCTGAACTGATGATTCGAATCTTCAACTTTCAGAGTGCAGCCCTAATTGTGAAGTTTTCATTTCCAAAAGTGTTTGTTTTGGTCTTTCAGCAACCCAAGGAGAGACTGCATCCAACAATATATTTAATTTTTACTCATTTACTTTGTGTTTGTGGGAACAAGTTACTCTGCTGTGTGCACAAGATGAAAACATACATTGTAACCCTTCACAGAAAAACAAACTAAACAGATGCATGATGTGACACATGTACTGGCTAACGTGTGAGCAGGACGATGTATCACAGAATGATTAACATGTGTTTTTTAGATTAATTTTTGGACAATCTTGTAATTCAATCAACTGTTAAACAGTTTTTTTAATCATCCTCTATATTCTATCTATATATGCATCTGTCTCTAAGTATATTAAGACATACTGTTTATAAAATCAACTTAAATTGGAAAAAATGATTGTTTGATTTAAGTGTAAATAGTTAACAATTTGAAAGGCAATAAAGTTTCTTCAGGACATGTAATAACATTCTGTTTGTGCTGAAACTGTTTTAGAGTGGTGTTGATTCAACTGTATGATCATTTTAGAGTCTGTGTTTTATGATGCTGTTGAGCTGTTTCATTATTCAGAGGTGTGTGTTATCTAGCTTAACCTCATTGACATAAATGTGGTGAACAAAAATCACGTCTGAACCCCATTATTACAATAAAAGTTTGTCAAACTTTAACTGTTAATTTAACAGTTCTTCACAAGTTATCTTCCAATTATCACATGAGCCAAAAAGGCAGAAAAACAAAGTTTCCTGTCCTCTGACTAAATAAGGGGGAGCAGAGTGAAGACGCTGAGGTGAGACAGGAGGCTGATGTCGTGCTAACATCCTCTGCAGACACCTGCTGACAGGTAGGCAGGTCAGCTCCCTTATTCGGCCTCAACAACTTTCTCCGCTGTGTTAATTACTTCTCTGCCTGAGCGTGCGAGTTGCCGTTAACCTCGCCTCTTCACAAGCCTTGTTTTCTCTGGCGTCACCGGTGTTAATTAGCGCTCTTAGTGGTGAGACCATGTGCCGTGCCGTATGGGGCATTTCCTCCGAAAGAGATACAGTTTCAGAGGCATGAAAATGAAGGTCAGGCTGTGAGCGGAGAGTATGAAAAGAAACTGAGAGGCATCAGTGAGGAGTCATGGCTGAACGTTGGCTGCAAAAGTAATTCTTGTTTCAAGTGTATTTTTATTCCTGCAGGTGATTCTTACTGTTGGAACTATTTGATTTCTCCACGAGCATCATTTTAAATTTTAATTTAAAGCTGCAGTCACGTAATGTTCCCTGTTGAAGATGTTTAAAGACTTCAGAGTGTGTAAAACCTCGTTTGCACCAAGCAGCTGAGTTCAGTTCACATCAGAATGGTTATTTTTGTGTTTCAACTGAGAGAGGTTAGCTGTGTTTGCACCAACAATTTTGGAACAGGACTTTTAGAACCAAATATAACCCCCACAATGAGGTATGCAGACCCTAGACCCTTATAGCATTCCACTGTAGACAGTACTCTTAAATGTAGGGACTGCACCAGAATGAGGCTCTGCCATGAGAAACGTCTGCACCTGGTTTATCGTCCACAGAACGAGGCTGCACGCCCACATTTTCAAAACAAAATAGAACAGGCTGCAGTGAGAGTCTCTCTCCATGGGATATTTAAAAATAGCAGCTTTGTGCATTTAGTCCTTCTCAGGCAAGCTCAGGGGTTTAGTGTTGCTGTAGCCCACAGGAAGTGAGGATTAGGATATATGACTTTATATATTTTTGGCTCAAAGATCCACTCATTACTAAAAGTGTCTGTCATCTTAAAGAGACTATAAGAACTAAAGTGATGGTCAGAGTTGTTATATTGAAACCTAAGGCGTGTTGATGGATTCACGTCGTCACCTCATGCACTGAGTAAGATGCTAAGATGATACTTGAACAACTCTGTTCTATTGGTACAGTCCACAACTTTTCACAATGGAAATGGAAAAATAACCGTTCTAATGTGTGTCGAACTGAACCGGACTGCTTGGTGAAAACGAGGCTGTTGTGGGTGGCACCAACAGAACTGTTCCATATGGTCCTGTTTTTTCCTCACCCCTCTGTTGAGCTACCTAGCCCGCTGATCTGAGAGTAGAAGGTGGAGCTAGAAACAACAAATACACAAACCCTCCCTTTACAAATATCCCATTGATTGGGACAGAGAAAATGTCTGTATACAACAGCAAGACCTGCATGGAGCAGTGACACAGGTCTCATCATCCAGTGACAACCCCACCTACATTTAAGGGTACTGTCTGCAGAGGAAACCCAAAACTGATCTAGGGTTGTAGTAGGTCAATTTCCGTCCAGATCACATACACATTCAGTCCAATACTGAAAATGTTTAGTGGAAACTAGGCCTGGGTATTGGTACTCGATATTTTTAAGGTATCGGCCAAAATAACCCAGCACCAGGAAGCACTGAAATTGCATTGCATCTCGTCCAAAAGATGGAAGGACCAATGAACGCCAGGGGTGGGGGCGGGTCTAGCAATTAGCCAATCAGCGCCACGCTGATGTCAAGCTGTACGCCGGTGGGTAACTGATGAGGATAGCAACAATGGCGACAGCTACAGATCCTACAGACCACATTAACGATGCTATTGAGGTATTTCGCCACTACTCGCGTTAATGGAGGACCAAATTAAGGAAGCTGCTAAACTGGATTTAACAGCGATACAGCTGGGCGTGCACGACGACGGAGACATTTTAAACGGGCAATGCTCGCTTGTTTTCGGCACCCTCGAGGCATGGATACTAATGACGTCAGATTCTGGGTGAGTCGTTGATCTCTACTGATTGGTTAGGGAAAAATCAAATTCCCTCCCCCTTGTAAATCGCCTTCAGTGGAGGCGATGTCAGACTGAAGGTTCTGGGAGCTTCAGTCTGACACTTAGGCTATTGGATCCTTTTAGAACCCAGATCTGGTAAAAATGACGACTTGTATGGTTTGGCTTGCAGTCAATCACTGCGACTATTTCTCAAGTAAATGAGGCATGTGATTGGCCAACTACCATGAAACTAAACCCATACAGTATGTGGTGTGGTGATGTTGGATAGAGTTGGCAGTTCAGCAAGCCCAGATGCCACCAAAATTCCAAAGTACAGCGATACCACACCAACACGTTCTCAACCCAAGATGTCACACATACCTGCTGCTTTGTCAGTGGCCTTTAATGTCTACATATAGCATGCTACGTATCCTCCTGCATGTGCTGTTGACATCCAAGACAACGCAACCAATGCCGGCATGTCAAGAAAAGCACATGGTTAGGATTAGAAATAAACATCATGGTTTGGTTCAACATTCATGTTGGACCCATCCACCATCCCTCCAGTCCGCCCTATAGGGACTTATCAGCTCCTTATATTATGTCATTACTGGCAGCATTTCAACCTGACGCCGTCCAGCGGTGTATCATACCGCCACGACAGGTGCCGTCCGACCAACCGGCAGTATAGCAAAACACCACGAAAGGTTTAATCTGGCCGTGTTACAAACTGACGTTGCCTGGCGGCGTATCATACCGTTGCATTGTTGGCTTTTGGTGTCAAGTGTCTGACACCGAAGTCACTGACAAAGCAGCAGTATTCGACAACGTCTGAATGACAACAAGCTGACGACACACCTGTGTCATCTGGTGACATTTTTCACCACTGAATGCTTCCATCCACATGATGGGTGTTTAATGAAGTTCCCTCTTTGTATCAGTTTCACTTTAAGGGTACTGGTGCTGTTAATTGCGTCGTAATTTTTTAAAGGACACCCGGCCCTGGTGGACACAGGGTTGATGTGTTACAGTGAAGGTGAGGTGGTGAGAGCAGTGTGAAACTACAAAGAGATTTTTATTGGATTAAGTTTGGATCTTTCACTTTATGATTTCCCACCAGAGAGAAAACTGACAGAATTTAATTTGGAGAAAATCTTATGCCGCTCCATGTGTGTGTGTGTGTGTGTGTGTGTGTGTGTGTGTGTGTGTGTGTGTGTGTGTGACGATCTGACTGCTGCACCCACTTGCTGGTTCGGAGCCCAACAGAAACTGGCAGAGTGAAGCTGTGATTACAGGCAGCAGGAAATTATACACTGAACTGTGTTTGACACTCGGTTGGTCGACGACTCTCAAATCACAGTAAATCTTTTGTGTTGAACTCAACTTGTTAATTTTACACTCAGTAAATGAAACAAGCAGGAGTTAATTCTGACACGTCTGCATGTACAACGACGACTGTAACAAGGCATGTCATCAGAGAAGAGACGATCATATGTTTTGTATAAAAACAGATTGATGAAGACGGAGCCGATGATTCTGGAGATCTGCTCTCATTTTTAAAGCAGCTACGAGGAGTTATGAAACAGTCTCAATTTAAACATCCAGTGTGTAAGATTCAGGGGGATTTAGTGGCGTCTAGCAGTGAGGATCGCAGATTGCAGGTTAAAATTCCTTCAGTGTTCGTTTGGGAGGTTTTTAGCGGGAGCTGAAATATTCACAGAGGTCTCTCCTCTCCAAAACAAACAGACCAGGTGATTTAAACCGGTACAAACACTGAATAAAGCAGTTTAACGTCACAAATCAATGTTCCTAGCATGTCACAGACGGGCCGCTTGCCCAGTGCCTGCTATGTGTGCTCACCTATCTCTGCAATAGCACTTTTATTTTGAAGTGCCATGCCCCGCTTCCTAGTGAGTAGAGGCAGAACAAGCACAAGTATCCTATCCAAGCTGGCTCTGACAGTCATGTGACCATCGTTTTGCACTTCTGTTGACTGAGGTGAGGCTAGCATGCTCAACAATAATGGACTAGTATACATTCATATTTGTTTTACTTAATCTGAATTAAAAAAAGCACTTGCTAAAAATGTGATTCTCATAATAGCGTTTGTTCGTTATCATATTTTCCTTTTTGTGAATTAAAATTGAGGTTTGTCAGGAAAGCTTTGGTACAGCTGAGTCTGACAACGTGTGTCCAACAAGAAAGAAACAATCGGACTCACGGTCAGTTCGCAGGAAGTTGTTGAGGAGCTGGAACAGAGGGAAGCTGTCCCACGAGTCGACAGGCTGGACCTGCAGAGCGGCGTCCATGTCGGCTTTGTACAGAGACAGAAACATCTCGGCGTGTTCGGCCATCAGCTCCGGCCACCACGAGAAAGCCTGAGAGACAGAGATATTAACAGGAAGTTGTCTTAGGTTGGGTACAATGACACAGGTCTACTGATGCATCTCATGTCTGATCCATCGACACTGTCCTCTAATGATAAATACATCTGTTCATGATCAAGCGACAAAGCCTTCTAACGGCAGAAGTAATTATGCCTCTTGTTTATCAGGGCCAACACAGGAAGACACAGGTGACATTATTACAGAGCGACACAGTCAGTGTAGGGAGAAGTTTGGGGCAGATCGATGGGTCAACAAAACCTTGGACTTTACTATGCTGTCTGTTTCCCATTTCCAATCGACAGTTAACATTGGTTTCTTCTCACCCTGACCATGCACACACCCCACCCTTATTCAGTTATTATAACTATAACCATGATGACACTTCAAATAGGTGAACATTCTCCATGGTCGTTATTTAAGTTTAATTTTAAAGCTGCCCAGAAACACTGTAGGGTGAATGATCTAAATGTCCTTGTCTCAGTGAGCGTGTGGACATGTGGGTGAGGGTAACGGAGGAGGTGAGATGTTTGGATTCTGTTAGGATCTTTCACTGTCTAATTCTCACCAGAAAGAATACTGACATATGTCATATGACATATGCTGATTTAGGCGTTAGATCAGAAAAGGCTTATGTTGTTCTAAAGGTCGTGGTTAAACAATGTATTCTGGCTTTTATTTGGTAATCTTGCTGGACAGGTCACGTCTCTGAAGGTCCAATTTGAGGCTCAACGTTTAGGTTTTTTGCTCACTACCATCTTAAGTTACCAGGGCCACTTGATGTTAGTCAACTTCTGTGATGTTATTGCTCCTCATTGCGGTGTTTGAATATGAAAACACGACCTCACTTATTTTTGGAAAGAAAACAACAGCGTCCATTTTTGTTGGCAGTTGCTTAGCAGCAGAGTTCTCATGGCAAATCATTTTAACACCAAACATATCATGAACTTCACTCCTGCTGCTGAAAACACAAACTGATGAGATGTTAAAGGTTTCTGTGTGGCCTCTATCACTAGTCTGCTTCTTGCCCGGTCACCTGAGGATGACCGGTTTTAGGCAGATTTACACCTGAGTGATACTTTTTCTATTTCTTCAGAGTGGAGGCTCTGCTACCAGAAGTTGGACTGAGGTGTAGAGTATTTAAAATACAAGCAATGAAATCTACACACAGGTGATCTCCATTTATGTTAGTCCTAAAACCAAATAGTTTAAGGGAGCCAACGCGTTCACCTGGTAGAGTGGGTGCCCAATGTACAAAGACTATGTCTTTGCTGGAGCAGCTGCAGTTTGCTGCATGTCATTCCTCTTTCTCTCCCCCTTTCAAGCTACATCTGTTCTATCATATAAAGGCAAAAAACCCCAACATCTTCACCAGTGATGGTTTAAGTGTGTCCCATTAAATCTAGACATTTTGCATTTTGGATATTCAATGAATTTACGAGACACGTTGACATTAAATGGTCTTTTTCTGTTGATAATTTTATATACATCTATGTTTGTCTCCCAAGTTTATTTGTAGACTCATTTATTTATCTTAATTAATTTGTTGATTTTTTGGGGTGGTGTGTAGGGTTGGTGTATTTGTAAATGGCGTCCTTTGTTTGAAAAAAGAAAAAAATCACAAATATACTAAAATTACCACCCTGAGGTTGTTTGTCTCTGCAGACAAGTTGCAGTTAGAGTTTACATCTGTCGGTCCAGACAATAGCCATGACAGTTGACAAATACTGATGTTGCTGCAAAAAGGTTACAAATGATAAAACATGGACGCCTCACACACATCTTCCCCCGACAGCTCAGAAGATCTATACAATCAGCACAGTGTCAAGATTAGAGTCACCAATTCAGTATCTGACCAAATGTCTCTTCATCTGTTCCTGAGATATCACGCTGAATAATGGACAGAAAAGTGTTTTATGCAAAACATTATGATGTCACAGTGAAGTTGACCTTTGACCTTTCGGATATAAAATGTCATCACTTCATCATTTCATTCTATTGGAAATTTATATTTTGTCATAATTAATGTATGAATTCTTACGTAATGGCCTAAAACAATTATTTGAGGTCCCCTCAGTTCATCATTGAGTCCAATAGGACGTTTGTGCCAAGTTTGAGAAAATTCCCTTAAGGTGTTCTTGAGATATAACATTCACGAGAATGAGATGGATGCAAAGGCAATGACCTTGACCTTTGACCACCAAAATTCTAATCAGTTCAGCCATGACTGATTGATTTGATTGATTTTTATTTATTTACGTGTCATGCCACAAGTGGCCCATCCCACACGGGATTACATGACACCAATTGAGACATAGAAAAAACATTTCATATGTGACTTCCAGTACACATAACAAAATTCAACTTTACATAACCACAACACAAAAAAAAGAAAGAAAACAAAAGGAGACATAATCATCTGTACAATCCCATACTTCTTTTAACCCAGGCCTTTTCTATAAATTCTGCAAATAAAAATGTTTTATATTCAAATAACCATGCCAGCAAATCTGTATCCTGTCCCATCTCTTCCACTTCCAGTCTGTTAAATAACTTTACTCTTAAATCATGATAATATGGACCATACAAAACAAAATGAACATTTTCAATTTCATTGAGATCACATAAAAAACAAAATCTGTCATCCTCATTTGTTCCAACCCAACGTCCTGTTTCAATATGCAGAGGAAGAATACCTGAACTGGGCACACAATGATCTTCTCCTCTTAGACAAATTATATTTAACATAATTCTTTAACATAAAACTCATTTTTAATCAGACAGAAAATGACTCAAAATCGGCATTTGTGTCAAATTTAAGAAATTCTCTAAAGGCGCTCGCAAGGTCACAATGACCTTGACTTCTGATCACCAAATTCTAATCAGTTCATTGTCGAGTCCGAGAGGATGTTTTTGGCAGAATGTAAAAAAAATCTCCCAAGGTGTTCTTGAGTTAATGTGTTCACAAGAATGAGACTGATTAGGTCACAGTGACCTTGACCTTTGACCAAATCATTTCAGTTCATCCTTTAAGTCCAATTGGACGTTTGTGCCATATTTGAATAAATACCGTCAAAGCGTTCCTGAGATATTCATGAGAATGAGACAGAGGGATGGAGGACCAGAAAACATAATGCCAGCATGGAGGCATAAAACTAGATACAAGTAATTTATACGACTTAAATGTAAATAAAACTGAATAAAATAAAATAAACCTTTTTTGATGTCATAAAAAAGAGCAGTGGACTCTTTTACGTAGGCAGCATATGTTACTGACATAATGTGTGTCTAATGTGTCATAAATGTCTCAGTGACCAAAACATCTTGATCTGATTACGAGAGGCGACCTGTTAAAAGCTGCAGAAATCTAAATAAATGGAGGCAGACAAAGATATATTCAGCTGCTGTGACTGCTACCTGCTACTAAAGTGAAAAAGAAGAGAATAAAAGCACAAAGGTGCCGCTGCATCCCGGCTGTGTGGCTCTCCAGTGGACAGAGATCAGCCCGCTCAGGTGACGACTAAAGGACATCTGAGACAAAAGTACAACCAGCCTTGAATCAAATGCTGATGCACTGAGGTCAATATTTGTGTACGAATGAGAGATAGGAAGCAGAGATGTAAGACGGGGAAAAAGAGAAACGACACTGCAGAAACGACACTGTTCTTGTGGCCTTGTAGGACGACTTGTCAGGTCTTTCAAAACGCGCCTTTTCAGTTTCCTTTTACTGACAACAAACAGCATAAAACCAGCCTGACGATTCCTCAACACTCACAACTCTTTCTTCTCAAGACATCGATTTCAATAATGGCTGACTGTAAATAAATGCTGCTCTCAGTCCATCAAGGAAGACAAAGACAGAGACAAGAAAGCAGCACAGGATTTAAAGATAGGAGGGTGAGATGGAGAGAAACAAGGACAACAGCGGAGTAAAGGAAGATTAGAAGAACTGCTAAAGTAGGAAAGGAGGATGTGATATGGGAAGAATAGAAGAAGGCGATAAAATATGAATCAAAGAAAAAAAGGGGAAAAGAAGAGTGAACAAATCAGGACTGAAAGAAAGGTGGGTAAAGAAAAGCAAGTACAGAAATGATGGAGGGAAGAAAGAAAAGAAAGTGGACGAAAGGGCAAGAATAATTGAAAGACAATTAAGATAAAGAGAACAAATGACAACAAATGGAGGGACTGAGTAGAAATGGAAGAAAGAAGGGAGGGAACGTGAAAAAGGAAAATATGGAATGAAGAAGGAAACAAAAATGAACGAGGGAGGATTGGAGGAAAGTAGGGAAGAAGAGAGAAGAAGGGAGGAAAGGAAAATGGATAATAAGAAGCAAGGAAAGAAAAGACAAAGAAAGAAAAGACAGAAAGAAAGAAAGAAAGAAAGAAAACTGAACTGGAATTTGGAGTGTTTGGAAAAGGGTGAAAGCATGAAGGGAAGAAAGAAAAGGGGATGAAAGAAAGGAATAATTAAGGTTTTTTACCTTAATAGTAGAGTAGAGTAGAGTAGTAAAAAAACAAAAAGGCAGAAGCAAAGAAAGACAGGAAGAAATATGCTAAAGAATGAAGAAAAACAAATGAAAGAGTGAACAAGAGGACTACAATTAGAAGAATAAAATAAAGGATAAAATAAAGAGGAACTTAAGAAAAAAGAGGTGACGTCAAACCATGAAAAAGGGATGACGAGGGAGGACTGGAAGGGGGGAATGAGAGAAAATGATGATACGGTAAAGACAGAGAAACAGAAAAATAAAGGAAAAAAGGAACAATGAACGAGGAAGGGCATATGACAAATGAACGCAAGGAGCAATAAACAAAAGATAAAAGGTGACAAGGTCTTTTCAGAATACACTTCTGTCTTCAGTGCAGTTTCTGCTCGTCAGACGCAAACAGTCTTTTTCAAAATAAAACTCAGAACATCGCTAATGTTTATTCTCTCGTGCAACAAATACACGTGGTCAAGTTTAGGAAAAAACCTCACGGTCTGGCTCGACATTATTATGGGAAGCGAACTCCGAGCTCCTTCCAGCTCCCTTAAGTTACGTTGTTTTCCAGCGGCATTTCAAAGTGAAGTAGTCCAGTGCAACACATTCTCAGTCCGACCTCATCACATACTGACGTGCTTGGTCATGGACTTTCCACGTCCACATACGACATGCAAGGTACCCTGGGTGAGTTGGTTGTTGACGTTCTGGGACACAGTGTCAAGTTGTCGTCTTTCAAAATACACTTTAGCTTTCACATACAGTCTCTTTCTAAATAAAAGCAGTACTTCGGGGCAACGACGCAAATTGAGTTTTTGTTTCCTCCAACGACCAACTTGTTGGTTGGGTTTCGGATAAAAGAACAAGGTTTGGTTTTAGAATCTTACGGGACGTGAACACAGCTCTCTGGGGTGAAAGTCCGTGTTTGTTTGACCCATCCACCACCCCTCCCACGTGCTCCACTCCGACGTTCGCCTCCTTTACTTTTGTCCTTGTCCCACCGTGTTTCCCCCGACGCTGCTGGGTGCCGTTAAACTATAACAGCAACCACCCGCAAACTGCCTTTTTTAACGTTGGTTTATGACGCCGCAAGTCACTGCCCAAGCACCGGATTTCGACAACATCCTTTCGAGACCAGGCTTGTCCAGTGGTGTATCATAAAGCCGAGAGAGGACGGCTTCTCTTGTTGGTGTCTGATGCTGAAATTACTGACTAAGCAGCGTTATGTGACAACACTGGAATGAGAACGGGTTGGAAAGAAAGAGGAAAAATGGACAAATAAAGGGAGAAAATGTGAGTGGTAAAAAAGGGAAGAATGAAGAGAAAGGAAAGGATGGAAGAAGGGAAAAAAGAAAGTAGGGAACAAAAACAGGGAAAGGAAACAAAAGGTAAACAAGAACAAAAGTACGAAAGTGGAAGGGAGGAGCAGGAGAAGGAAAAAAGAGTAATTAAGGCAGTAAGACTGGAAAAAGAAAGTATGAAAGGAAGGATAAAGGAACAAGGAGGAGCAGGAAGGAGGGAAGGATTGAGAAACAAAGAACAAAAGACGAGATAGTCAAAGAGGAGAAAAAGGAAGGACAGGACTACAAATGAACAAAGGAAAGACAGAGGCTGAAAACAAAAGGTAGAGATACAAACAACAACATGGGAGTCAGGAGAAAACAAGAGAATAAAGATCAGCGAGGACGATAGAGGGAGGAAAGAAAGGAACGACCGAAGGAGAAACGGAGGCTCCAGCCTGTTTACATCCAAAACATTCCCTTATTTTTAGAAGAGAAGAAGAGCGGCGGTGCTGTAAAGGGCTAATGTGTGTATTGTACCACCAAGGACACCCAAGTCTCCATGTCGTCCCTTCAGCACATGACAAAACATGTGAAAGCGTCATGACTGAATATCTTCCATATTGTTGAGAGAGGTGAAGGAGAGTGTTTGTGCAGCGACGGTGAGGGACAACTGTCAAAACTGTAAGAGACCCTTTGAAAAATAGTTCCTGTTCACAGCTGCGAGGAGATAAACACTAACATTTTGTTGAGGCTGTTTTCTGCACGGCAAAGAAGTTAAACTACTGAGTGGGTAGGAAAGGCAGCACAACAACCCAAAAATGGGAAATAACTTGGACTTTTTTCTCTGCTGCCTGAGTTTGTGTGCTGTTTTAGTTTTAATACAACTCAATTATTAATGTATATTTGAAGCCTTTTCTTCTTTATTAGTCCTCATTTCTGATCCACAAACAACCCGAGGATAAAACCTTTAGAGCAGATATATATGTCACCATTCAGTGATAAAAATCCTTTGAACTGTCAGATGAACCCAGGTGTTTGTAGGTGATCTGACTGGATCTCGGGTATCGCATTGGATCAAATCTTGAAAATGATTGTCAAAAAAAAAAAAAAACTGAGAAAAAGTATTCCAAAATTGGATTAGATTATGATTTGGATCAAACCTTCAGTATGTTGTTCAAAACTGGACACCTTTCATCCAAAAACACAGGATTATCTGGTCCTGGCAGAAGGCTGGATATGAACAGATATTTAAACATGTATTTATATATTGCACTTGCTTTGATTAGATAAAGCATACATCAGGCTGCCTATCAAGCCTTTCAGTACAGTAATTTTAACAAAAAAGGATCATGTCCCCATAAAATAACCCCCCCAAATGGCTGTCAATATTAATTGATATTAATTAAATAACATTGGTGAAAGTAAAGAGGAATGTGACATCTGAAGTGTAAATGCAGGCGTTCAAATCAGACCTCAATCCTCAAATCAGAGTGCAGAGCAGGTGAAACAGCATCGCCCAATTAAATGTTGAATGATCAAAACCACAAATAAAACAAAAATAAAAATTAAAGATGTGGATGTTGCTGCAAATAAATTACACATTCTAAAATATAGATGCTTCACACACATCGTCCCCACGGGCAGCACAGACGATCTATGAGGTGGACACCCAAGATTAGTGTCATCCCTTCAGCATCTGACCAGATGACGTTGGGTAACGGCCAAAAGTATTTTTGCAGAATATTATGACATCACAGTGAAGTTGACCTTTGACCTTTTGAATACAAAATGTCACAACTTCATCATTTTATTCTATGAGACATTTATATTTTGTCATAATTGGTGTATGAATTCTTGAGTTGTGGCTAAAAACATTTTTTTAAGGTCTCATCAGATAGGTTTGTGCCACGTTTGAGGAAATTCCCTTTAAGGGGCTCTTGAGATATCGCGTTCACGAGAATGAGACAGATAAATTTATCATTTTCTTCTAGTAGACGTAATTGGCATAAGAATTCTGCAGTTATGGCCAAAAACTGCTTTGTGAGGTCACAGCGACATCTGACGTTCGACGATCAAATTCTAATCAGTACATTGAGTCCAAATGGACGTTCGTGTCAAATTTCAGGAACTTCCCTCATGGTGTTCTTGAGATGTTGTGTTCACAAGAATGAGACAAACTCTTTGATCACCAAAATCGAATCAGGTCATCACTGAAAGTGGACAAATGTGCCAAATTTAAAGAAACTCCCTACAGGGGTTTTAGAGATATCGAGGACAGACGTACAACTCGAAAACATAATGCCTCCAGCATGGACTTTGTCCCAATAATCCCCCAAACAGCTGTCAATCTTAATAAATATTAATTTGATAATACTGGAAAAAAAATAAAGTGAAACATTTGAAATAATGTAAATCAGGCCTCAATCCCCAAATCAGAGTGCAGAGCAAGTGGAGCATCGAGGGCAGATCAGCAAAAAGTTACAATTAAATTTCCAACAACAAAGAACCAAACTACCAACAAATAAATGAAATAATAAACATGCTAAATTATCCTGATTGTGTGGTATTAATAAGCCCAGGTTACACTGCATTATAACCAAGACAGTGAGGAGAAGACGGGGGATCAAATGATTCTGTATGGTAAGAGCAATATTTCCTCCTCAGAACATTAATACATCCTCTAGCAAATATGAAAACTACAATAATTGCTAGAACTTTGTGTTTAAAAGATGATTTTCTCTAGACAAACTGATATATGACTCACAACTGACTCATAATTTTATAATCACAGCAAATCATTCAGCCCTTTGTGCATCTAAGCTTAAAAAACCCTTCTGTATTAATGGAGAAGATTTTTAACAATCCGATGGCCATGAAACTCGTTAATTAACACACAACAAAGATAACACACAGATGGGAGGTGGTGACGCATGGAGAACAGGTTCTGATGGAGCTCTGGATCCAACAAATCAGCAGCGGCACAACAAAAACACAAACACGAGTGGAGGGTGACTGAAACATTCACACAGCAAACTTACCTCTCGTCCCTTCCCATGGTGGAAAACAAAAAGAGAAACAGAGAGGACAGACAGTCAGATATACAAGAACATCTTCAATCAGCCCAGTCGCCACAGGAAAATGTTGGCATTGTACGCGTCTGCAAACCACTAATATCTAACACTTGTGTGTTTCATCCGCATAATATTAAAGTTTCTTAAGTGACAAAGTGTATGAGGTGAATTTGTTATGTGTGGTGGAGGGGACTGTGGATGGAAGGTCACAGAGGTGAGACGCATGGCAAGCTGCAGACCACTGCACACGACCAACAAACAAAGGTTACCAGGTTGTTACCATTGCTGTGTTTCTAGCAGCTTTTCAGCCTCCAAACACAGGTGTTTTTTTAGGGACCCAGGGCTTTCTGTCCAGCGGCTTTTCAGCTTTAAAACATGAGTGTTTTTTATGCTTGTCAGCTCTGAAACACAGGTGTTTTTGGGGGACTTGGGGCTTTCTTTCAAGCCACTTTTCAGCCCCCAGACATGGGTGTTTCGTAGGGACCCATGGCTGCTTTTCAAGCAGCTTTTCAGCTCCTGAACATGGGGCTTTTCTAGGGACCTGCTGCTGTTTTTTTGTTGTGACTTTTCAAACCCAAAACACAGGTATTTTTTCAGGGACCCTGGGCTGTCTTTCCAACAGATTTTCAGCCCCCACATGGATGTTCTTTAGATGCCCGCTGCTTTTTTTTTTTTTTTAGGGACCCATGACTGTTTTTCCAGTGGCTTTTAAGCTCCCATACATGGGGCTTTTCTAGGGACCCGCTGCTGTTTTTGCTGTGGTTTCGAGCCTCCAAATATGGGTGGTTTTAAGCGGCCTGTGGATTTCTTTCCTGTGGCTTTTCAACTCCCAAACATGGTTGTTTTTTAAGGACCCAGGGCTTACTTTCAAGCGTCTTTCCAGCCCTCCAAACACAGGTAATTCTAGGGACTTTCTGCTGTTTTTCCTGGATCTTTTCAGCCCCCAGAGATGTGTTTTTTCAGGGACCCAGGGCTCTCTTTCCAGTGGCTGTTCAGCCCCCAAGCATGGGCGTTTCTTAGGGACCCAGAGCTGTTCTTCCAGTGTTTTATTTTTTTTTTTTTACAGCCCTCAAACACAGGTGTTTTGTAGGGGCCAAAGGGGTATTTTTTAGGGACCCATAGCTGTTTTTCAAGAAGCTTTTCAGCTCCTGAACATGGGGCTTTTCTAGGGTCTCACTGCTGTTTTTCCAGTGGCATTTTAGCCTCCAACCCTGGGTGGTTTTTAGGAAACCCTCTCTGTATTTCCAGCGGGGATAGTACCATAAAAAGTGGTTGTTTTTTACAATGGCATTGTTGCGTTTCCAGTGCGGGTGCCTCCAAAATAGGGTATTTTAATCCAACATATTGTCTTTTCCTAACATAAGTGTTTTTTGCTCCACCACACCTTACCCACAGCGCTGTGAAAACGTAAAGCTTCAAAGTTATCTGCAACATGGTAACGTACAAATGTAATGGGTCCATGTCATTGGTTCAACAGCCCATTGGTTCGACATCCCATTAGTCCAACTGTCCGCGGTGCTGAACGGCTCGCGGCGGGCGTATGGTGCGCCGCGACCGGCTTGAGGCGGAGCAGGCTCACGGCTTATGTGTTTGTCACTTTCTTTTTCATTTTAACCCACACCATGATCTTTTCCTGACCCTAACCAAGTGGTTATTGTGCCTAAACCTAACCAGACCTTAACCACAGGGCATCATCATGATTTCGGAACGGACTTCGGAGCAATGAGTTTAATATGGTTGGAACAATGGGCTGTTGAACCAATGGGCAGTTCCCATGTAATGCATCACTGGTTTGCAGAAACGTACAATGCCAGCATTTATTCTGGTGACTGAGTTGCTGCAGTGGTTGCACTGGATGGTCCCAGTCCCCTGATGGTGAACTACACCTTCACCTTTATTTCACTGTTGAGTGCATTCTCAAACTTTTTGATCCCTGGATTTTAAATGTTGTGTATTCATGTGTGTGTGTGTGTGTGTGTGTGTGTGTATGTGTACTTAGTTTGTTTGTGATAGAAACTTTGAACGCCTCCCTTCACTCAAAACATGTGTTGTGCTTGTTGTTCTTTTGCTGTGACTTTGAGCTTCACTGTGCAGAATGATGTTTGTTTTCACACAGATCTGCTGAAAGTTTCTCTGAGCTCATCTTTGACACATGGGTGTACCTGTGGAATTATGTGACATCACAACAAGTCTGAGGCCAATCAGGGTTAGGTATGAAACTTACACAAGTGTGATGTGCAAAGTTGAAACCACCAGAGCGCAAAGTGAAAGAGAAGAAGGACACATCTTGAACTTTTGAAATGAACAATATTCACATTTTCATAGATCATTAATTTTTCAGTATGTGAAGAATAAAAGTAATTAAGAAAACGTCAAACGAGATAATTCCTTCATACCAGACAGAAATTATTATCTGATGCAGAATATTAAACATGTCTGGAGGACTCTTCACTTTGACATCATCCTGATGAAACACTGACAACAAAATAAACAAGAGAATGTTGTTGACGCTGACAGTAACCGAGTAAACAATTATGATCCATCTCTAAATTTAAGCTGTGACAGCTTGTGGCGTCGCTTTGACAAAAAGCCTCTAATTTGTAGTTAACATCACATCTGAAGCTTGGAGGAGAGATCCACCGGTCACCATGGCAGCGGCAGAGCGTGTTATTAATAGCTCAGAAACAGATGCCTGAGCACCACGCTGCCACTTAGGGCCGATCAAACCGCCACGTCTCAACACCTATGATTGATCAGTTTTACACCGTGGCGAATGAAGGCCGCCTGCATATGGGCCGTGGGCGTTGTTTTCATCGTGCCTCCGACGCAGATTTCAATGCAGCGACGCCACTTGCCGTGTCATCTGCCACTTTAGCGCGAGCGCTGCCAACAGAGGCAAAGTAAGAAAATGGACAGTGCTGCGAAAAGTGATCAAAAACATTAATGAAATGATCAAGTGACTCTTTGCTGCTGTCACTCAGAGAGAGAAAAACACAACAGAGTTTCTGCTGAAATTCAAAGGAAGAAAAGAGTTTCAGAATTAAACTGTTGTAATAAAACGGATGCAAACAAGACGCAGAAGAATTGTTTTTCTTCAGCGAGTCCGCTGCTCACAACAACACAGACACTCTGTCATATATAAGTTATCCTACCCTGATTCTACAGCAAATATTTACCCTCTCAAATCTCACTTTATTGGACTGATGGTTTAATCCAAAGGTTTCAGACATAAGTCAGGTTCACCGCCTTTCACGAGTTGTTAAAAACATATATATGGTTTATGCACATGTTTTTGAGAATGCAGACGAATTGAAATTCATGCTGTTATCAAATGGCACAAAGGTATCAACTGATCTCAGCTGCTCATGGGGCTGAAACTGAGATGGTCATAACATATAAGTATTATTATTGATCAGAACTCATCATTCAAACCACTCATTTAAAACCTTGTGTCCAAGTTTCTTTTCCAGGAATATTTGAACAGCTCAGAATTACAGCAGTGAAAAATAAGAAGTATGTAAAAGTATAAAAATGAAAATATGCTGAGTGTGTAAAGTGTGTAAAGAATGTTCAGCTATGTGCATTATGCTACAATACAATATGCTAATTTTCTATTAATACTAATTTTGTTTCTATGTTTGTGTGAGTATGAGCCCCCTCACAGGTGCTGACCTATACATAGGAGGAGTAGTAGGAGAGAGTGTGGCTGACTGGGAGCACACAGCTTTTGACCATGCTGTTGCTGGCTCCACTCCCCTTATGATTTATCAATTAAGTTCATTTATAACTGCTGTTTTTATTTAACTAAGGCTCCCACAGAAAATATATGTAACCACTTAATGGCTGGAATAAAACTAGTTCCCCCCAGTCATCACCCATATGTGTATAATACTACAATGTACAACAAATCATTTAGTGGGAATGAGAATAAGAAATACAAACAACATGTGCAACATATGTTTAATGTACCTTCATCAGTGGGCAGAATAAATCCTGTTTCTCCCAGCAGGCAGGAGACATTTGATTTCAGCAACTTCTCTTTACCTTTATTGGGATACACTTCATGAATGCACCTTACCAGTGCCTAAAGACTGTAGACTATAGTGCTTTACATTTTATTATTGGCAATAGCGACTGCGTACGTCTCTGTACAGTGTATGCTGCTGCTGAATGGTCTTCTCTGTACATCTGCAGACTTTCGTATTTGGTTGGTGTTTATTTATAAATGGGTTGTTTCCGTCTAATCTGTGTACGTACATGTTTAAAAACTAAAATCAGTACGGCAACAATAATCTGGATTGAAACTTTTTTTTGGATTTAAACTGGATGTTGTCCTTGCTCATTTGTGGATTGTGACAGTTGTATTTGTTTGCTTGTGTTTATGCCGCCCTCTTCACCAGGTCGCGCTTGAAAAGGAGAATTTAATCTCAACAAGACTTGTAACGGGTTAGATAAATCATAGAGGTAACTGCTGAACAAAATGCTGAACAGCGATGTAATGACGCTCAGTCAGATGTGGTCACTTGTTTCCGTGTTCCCGTTTGCTCTTGGCTTTTTGTGTAAAGTAACGATGTGCTAAACCCTCCTATGTGTACCTGATACTGTAAAACCCGTTGCCTTCACTGTCTAATTTGTTCTGGAGCTGATCCTCTCTCATAGCTACGATGCTGCTCTGCATGTTTAGCAGATTGTATTCTGAGGGAGTAATACCTTTCTTTTTGCACCTGAGACAGGAAACATTCAGATTAAACTCCATGGAAAGAAAACATTAGTTGTCGACTTCTCTCGTCTCCAAGAAACACTTTGGTGTAAGTATGAAATAAAAAAAGCCTGATGCTGCCATTTTGCAGCCTTGCCAAAATGTTAAATGGTAACTTTAAAATAAAAGACTGGAGAAAATCAAAAGTGGGATAGGAATTGAAATAAGTGTCAGTTTCAGGGTGGGGGGCTTATAAAACTGTTACAGGCCTCCAGGCTTCAAAACAAAGTTCCCAAGTCCACTTTAATATAATAACTTGTGTCTCTACAGGTTTATTGAAACAATAACTGGTGTAACTATGCAGGACGGTGAGTTTACATTCAGGACCTTTCAGCTGAAACAAACTGTGCAGATAATCATCAATAACTCACCTCGGAGTGATGTTCGTCATTCTGCTGCAGGACTTCGATACAGAGCTCTCCCAGTCGCATCATGTCCTCTAGTCTTTTCTCCGGAGCTGCCTGAGTGTCCACTGCAGGTCCCAACACAGCAGGAGACACCCAGGATAGAAGAAGAAGAAGATACACTTTATTAATCCTCGAGGGGAAATACAATGTTTTCCCTGGGTTGTCATAAACACACAGGCCTGCCCATGGACAGGCGCCCCGAGCAGGACTTGACCCTCTGCCTCCCAAACCTAAGTCCCTATGGACTGAGCTACTGCCACCCAGTTGAATCCTGACAGTAGTTGTGTGTTGGCGGTTTGTGTGTCCCGACCTTTGTGATAATGAATCCTCTGAGTTTAAAAACTGGGCTTGTTCAGGATTTGAACCCTGGACCTCTCACACCCAAAGCAAAAATCATTCCCCTAGACCAATGACCCTTAAAAACACTTGGTTAATACATGACTCCATTTCCCATAATCCTCAGCTAACTGTTTGCTGCCCCATGAAATCATACTGTTCACAGCAAATGCTGCTGAAGCCTTTTTAATGATCCCATGAATTTCCTCTAGCGCCACCCTTCAGACACACAGGGCATTGAGTTCTTCGTCTGGACTCAAACAAGGGACATTGTGGTTCTGGCTTCCAGCATCCTTTATCAGGTCTGTTTAGAAAATCGTTTGTTTCGTTCCCAGGTATTTTTTATCCGCAGACTACTAAAACACTGACGTGGAGTCATGTATACAGAGAACTGAAGTGACATCTGAATGACGAACAGAAAATCCATAAACTCTCACCCTTGATCTGAGCGTACTCGATCAGCTGACCGTAGTTGATTCGAGCTGCGTTTTCCAGACACTTCTGCACCAGTTTCTTCATCTCCTCTGGAGGAACAGGTGTGGTGATGTCCTTCATCAAAACCTGACACGACACAAACAACAGCCATCATGTCAGTGAGGTTCAAACAGTTCAGAGACACAGAACAGACACCTGATTCTCTTACAAGCCCAAAGTTAACAAGTGTCTCAAGAGCAGGAAATCACCTCTAACTGGCCAAAAATTCTCAGTGACACAAGTCTGGTCCTACTTTAGGTCTTGGAGGAAAAGCATTTGATCAACTTTACTAACTTCCCTCCTGAGAGCTCCAGAGGTGTACTAACTGGTTAGGAGCTGCAGGAGATGGTGTTCAGGTAGAGACAAGCGTGTACATTTATTTTTGATCTCTATGAGCTTAAAATGAAATCATTTTTATGGATCTTATGTGGGATACAAAATGGAGAGCCCTCTCCACATAAACCCAGATCCTCAACCTCAAATAACCTGACTTTATACTTCACTACATAACAAAGGGAAGTATCATACTTTGTTTTCAGTTTCTGATGACATGTGGTCAGGGTGGAGTTATGCTGGGATTTATGTGAGATCACCAGTGAGAATGTTAAAGCTGCTGACTTGTCCTGCAACAAAACTGGCAACAAGGACCTCACAAACCTGGAAAATTATTAGCATTATTTTGTGAAACAAGATAATAACCTACAATATGCACATACAATTTTAAAAAAAGTCATCTGTCCGGACTTTGGGAGCTCCATAATTTAACACATTAAAGGGTCCATCACGAATAATGAGTGCTTTTATGATAAATCAAAGATATGCTGATAAAAGTGTTGGAAAACGATGTGATTGTGATCAGAGGGGGCTGAATCAAACTGTCTGCCTGCAAGTTCTTTTTTTAAAAATATATTTTCAGGACCTTTTTTACAGGACTGCTGGAGAGCGACAGGAAAGGAAGGTGAAATAATTAAAGATAACAAGCAGCAAAGGGTCACAGGCTCTAATCAAAAATGGGCCGCGCCGCTTAAGACTTAGCTCACAGTGGGGCGCACGCTCTACGTGTTGAGCCAGAGGTCATCCCCAAGTTTTAATCAGAATCAGACTGAAAATCAGAAATACTTTTTTGATCCCTGAGGTGAAATTATGATTCGTTACAGTTGCTCTGAAGTTAAGAGTAGAAAATTATAAGACGTAAGAATAAGAGTATGCTAAAAAGAACATAAATTTAAAGCAATAAAATAAAACAGAAATTAAATGTGCATTATGCTACAGTGTGTAACATTAGTACTTACTCAACACTTACCTTTCTGGAAACTGTACGCTTTTCTTTGTTCAGGTTAAAATGCTAATAATAAGTGAATTCCACCAGAAACAAAAACTCATAATTATACCATTCTCATAAGGTTCTAAGAAAACTCCGACCAATCATTGCATTCACACCGAATGAAATGATTGGTCGAACGTCCTGTCTGTCTTCCCCACATGGAGGCCTCCGACTGGACTGATGTAACCGCTCATGTAACATCTGCTTTAGTTTGCTTCTAATATAACATATAACGTTAGATGACAACAGAGCATCCAGTTGCTAATGGCTAAAGTTAGCCTACTGTAGCGTAGCCTGTGAAACATTAACATTATCTTCCTTGTGCGTTTCCACTTACTCGTAACATTAACGCTACCATCTAACGTTAGCACTGTAACCTTATTATAAAACTCATCAGTCATCACTGACTGAGTTTTAAAACTCCGGGGTTGCATTTGTAACGTTACACTCGCTCTCCTCTTCTGTGTATCTAAAGTTACCATGGCAACGCCTACATCTATCATAGACGTAATGACGGCGTAATGGAGGAGGGGGGAGTAGGCTGTTGGAGGGAGGTGGAGTTGCAGGAGGAGGGGGATGGGCCTTTGGAGGGAGGCGGGAGTTGTGGATGTTCAAATTTTTTCTCAGGGCTGTGTGAACTGGAAGAAAGGTAAGAGTTGCTTTAAGACATAAAAATTTAAATATTAAAATGAAATATATATGCTTATTGTGCTGAGGCTGTAGGCGGGAAAATTTAACTACAAGATAAAAATGTTAGGTAAAATATTTTAATGTTTGAACAGCCCAACTGCCACAAGTAAAAGTTGTTTTGTTTAACCACTGATACATCACATTTGTATGTTTCATACATATTATATCAACATTCTGATTACATGTATATTAACTGACTTTGACACCAGGAGGTAAAGGGGAGTTGGTGGACATTGGGACACTTTGGCGAGAAGACTGCCAAGCTGCAGGCCACTGTTAACGACCAACTAACGACACAACTGGTTGTTTTTTAGCGAGACTTGGTGGCATTTCCAGCCCTGACTGTGGCACCAAAACTGGGTATTTTAAGCCAAAACATGATCTTTTCCAAATTATAACCAGGTGGTTTTTGTGCCTAAACGTAACCAAATATTAACCACAGTGTTGCTGAAACATAAAGTTTCAACAGATCTTCTTCATAATAATGTACAAATGTAACAGATCTGTGGTTTGCAGAAAAGTAGGATGCAGACATTTATTCTGGTGATGGGGTTGTTTGATCCATGCATGCAAACTAATTATTGGTAAATATCATCATATATTTCAGCTATTTATACTCTGTTTTTAACATGATATTTCTGCACACATGACCGAAATATGTCACTTAACTTCATGAATAAAACCTGTACAAAAAAGAGAGGCTATTTTCTGCATTTCTTATTGTTCATTTGTTTAATGAACAATAAGAAACAGCGACATCACACTCTCTCTTTAGAACAATCCCTCCTCTGACTGAAAGCAAATGAGGTTAACTTTCAGCATGATCCAAAGACACCTGATAAATACGAACCCAGAACCTTTCCACTCTGGACACATAAAAATTTTTACCACCACTCAGAAAACATCACAGGAAGTATCTGAAGTATTTAAATATGTATTTAACGTGTACCCGTTCCTGCAGGGAGAGCGTTGCCTTCAGGGCCCCATCTGGTCGTCCAAAGGGAAAGCAGTACCTGCAGATGTAAAACGTGGGCGGTCATCACATTTAGAAACAATCTCAAGGACAACTGTGTGGAGAAAAAAAAGAATATGATAATAATAAGAAGAAGAATAGGAAGATGGAAGCAGCGGCAGCAAGACATCAGTGAGCGTCAACAGATGGCTGCCTCCTTTCATCTAATTACACTGATGAAGGAAGCTTTTCTCACCTCCAGCTCCGTCTGAGCGCAGACGAGGCGGTTCACCGAGGTTTCACGTTGCTAATTGACAAGTGAACAGAACTAAATAAACAAAGGCACGCGGTCACACAGGTCAGCCATTTATTGGACAAAAACCTCCAGGCAGATGTTCTGTTCCTTCACATTAATACGACTGAACAAAAAAAAAAACAAAATCTATAAAAAAGATTAACGAGCAGGACTTTGTTTGAAGATTCGGTTCATACTTCAGGTGAAGTCACCAGTTTGTGATGTTCATTTCCATGAAAAAACAAAAAGGAAATCGGTGAAAGAGCAGGAAGTGTTGAAAAGGCCTGAGTTGTTTTTGATGAATGTTTTCAAGTGTTTGAAAGGAGCTGACAGAAATATGTGATATATGAACAATCACACTGCATAGATTCATGAATTAATACCTGCTGCTTATGAAATCAGATTAAACTAAAAGTCAGAAACAGAAATATTCTTTTCAATTTTGTTCATAAAACTTAACGGCAAAATAAAAACGAAATCATTTCAGTCGTCATTAAGTAAAAGTACAGCTTCACAATGGTTTCACTTTTATTTGCTGCATATTATTTAAGTAACTGGAGTGTTTTTTTTCAGCTGCATATCTGACCGAAGCCCTTTTCAGACACAAAATTAGTAATGAAACAATGATGTGGGTCAAAGCCAGGTTGCCGGTCTCTCTGAATGGGCAACCTTGTCTCCAGCGGTTGCATTTAAATTCTACTATTTTGTTTTTGCTTAATAGATTGTGAGAGAAACATGATTTGCTTCCTGGATTATGCTCAGTGGGTTTAAGCAACAAAAGCAAGAGGTTAGAGAAAGATCATGGTTTCAGTGAAATGCTAATGAGAGTCAGCACATCCAGTCTAATAGTATTTAACCAAGACCGTGATCTTTTCTTCACACAGTGTTTAAATATAACAAGTTTAATGATGCTTTAAAACGTTTCATCAGTATGCTGATAAAAAGTGATGTGATGTGATGTCAAGGAGACCGGGTTGGAACAGGTCAAAGTGCATCAGTTGACTCTGGGTGTTGGTGTTTCTATCAGGAATGGAAATGAATTAAATACTGATGATTAAATGTCATTTAACAAATTCCCAAAAAGATGGAAGGATCATTTAGCCTTGTCAGTAATGTAACATCCACATTCACACCAGTAAAGTTTGTTTGGGTTAAACTGAATTGAGAGAGGGAACATGTGTGTGGACAGAAGGAGAAATGTTGTGTAACTCTGACCTCTCCTTTACATCAGGTAGACGCACTGCTGTGGATCATAAAGTGAACGACTTTGTCATGACTCAACCAAAGTGAGAAGGACATCAACTTATTAAGGTTAGGAATATCTCTATAAACAGGTATCTGCAGATGAATGCATCATCTGAAGGCAACAGGACAAGATTTTGACATTGGAAGCATTCTGGTTTCTATTTGTAGTCTGAGTAGTATTGATCGATCACCTCTGAGAGGTAAACAGTCTGTGTGGAGTCCAAAAGAGGCAGAGCACATTGGCCGGAATACAATCTCAGACTGTACATGAATAATGGACGTAACCCCCTTCACGTCTCCCATTGGTTTGTGGACTCAAATTTAGAGACCTCAAGTTTAGCCACCATCATCTTGGATTTTTGGAGTGAGAAGCAACTGTACTTGGATGAGAGGACAGAGCCCCTTTTACACTGCCTGTTCAAGTCAGGAATTTCATGCCATTTTTTATAAAAGGTACGATCACGGAATTGAGGGACAGAGTTGTCTCGCCTTTAAGTTGGCAGCCGAGGTATTAAAAGCGCTAAAATGATGTCTGGATAAAAGGGACAGCCAGCAGAAAGGCACCATAGGTTTGACGGGTGTGACCTTTTGACGACGTGTTATATGTCCAACCCACCACAGGAGACTTCAAGAGCAGCTAGCAGCAGTTAGCAGCTAACACAAAGAAGGAGAACAGTGGCTGAAAATGTCTCCGAAATGGGGAGACAATGAGGTCTTGGAGCTACTTGCCCTCCGAGCAGAGGACGAGATCAGCCGTCATATAGCACTGCCCATGTTACACTACAGGCTGACCCTGTCGTGTTTTATGTCACTCCTGTTTTGCTTCCATGATGCCGGCATGCTGTCTAAAACCACACACTGCAGCAGGATGATTCAGCCGTTGCTTTGTTCTGTCTAAAAATGCAAGGGCGGCATGAAGAAGGGACCCTTTAGGGCCATCTCTGTAGAACAAGGAACTGTAGTTTTTGGAACTTCTACATCAGCGGAAGTTGCGACTTGTGAAGCGCCCACAACTCATTCCCGTCCTACACTTCTGGAATGAACAGAAACACCGACGGAGAGGCAGACCTGATCAGCTAACATCAGTGCTGGGAGCAAATCCCTGCAGAAGGTTCAAACATCTGGTGGAAAGTCTTAAAGCAGAAGAATGGAGGCGGATATAAAACTATAACACTATCATTACCTGCACAGATGTCCACATATTTTTGGCCATGTTGTGTATATTTAGTGTCTTCAGGACCATGTGGATGTTCATGACACCAAAATAAACAATCGTGTTCCTCTACATTTATCTTTCCTTGTAAGAGTCAACTGTTGGCGGGCAAAACCAAAGAAAAATAATAACTTATAAAACAGTGATGAGGTAATCTTTGGATAATCTCTTTTCTAAGGAAGAATAATAATCAAGAGAAGCAGTGAAGAGGAGCAGCTGTAGTTTAAATGTATAACTATAAATAAATAAATATACATGAGTCTTTAGTGGCTGAGCTCAGCTTTAATCTAAACTAAACTGTGGAAATCCTGCTCTTGTCTGAGGGACATTAACATAATCCCAGCATTGTTCCAGCCATTGTTTACCAGCATTAGCCTCTTGTTGAGGTGAGGTAGTAATGACTCCCGCTGATCAACCCCCCCCCCCCCCCCCCCCCCCCCCCCCCCCCCCCCCCCCCCCCCGCCCCCAGCACACACACTCGGCCCTGACCGGCCCCTCCTCTCCTCTCTGGGGCCAGATGGAGGGCCCCTCTCAGGCGTGAAGGGTTTAAAGAGCCGGGCTTCGGGACAGTTAATGGCACAGGTCCATTCAGACGAGTGTTGCTCAAGGTCTTGGGGCTGCCGCTTTCACACCGCGCTCACAATGTGTTCACACGGCGGCGGCGGCGGCGCTGAATAGCAGCACGCAGATGCAGGGAGGTCTCATCAGCCGGCATCGACGACGCATGTCCTGCACCTGTTGTGTGCTGCTGCTGATGGGCCTAAAAATACCCAGACTGCCTGCGTTCATTATGACGGCGTTAAAGGAGCATACCGCTGGTTTTACATGTTTTGATTTCCTTCAATTCACTTCACTTTAGATCGCAGCCGAGCATTTAGCAAACGTCTTTAAGAGGTTAAGATGTGTTAAGATTGTCTCTCGTTCATTACAGTAAGACAATCTGTGCACAGATTCAGACCTGGCGTGAGCTGTGTAATCTGTAACAGTCACAGTTAGATTATCTTTATGAGGTGAGGCAGAACAAATGCATCAATCTATGTTTAAAGGGTCAGTTAGTCCAAATTACACACAACAAAAACAAACATACAAACACAGCCTCTCTTGTCCCTCCTGTGTGACACTTCATGCAGACCTTAAAGGGACAGTTTGGTTTTTTTGAAATGGGGTTGTGTGGGGTACTTATCCATAGACAATAGATAACATACAGTAAGTGTCATTCAACATGCCACCAGCTTTGACAATTTGGCTGCAGTCCGACATGGAAGCTAAGCAACCTGCTGCTGTGGAGGAGTCAGCAACAAAATGATTTTTAGCCACTTAAAAAAAATAGACCCCCTTAGGGAAATTAAGATTCCAGCAGCACTGGATAGCAGCACACAGGGTATCAAAAAGTAAAAAAACAATTTGCAAAATATAAATATAAGATATACAGAGAATAAATAAGTAATTCCTTATTATATTCCTTATTGTAGTGGCTACTGGCTTAAACTAATATAGTTTTTTCAATGGGAACTTTTTTAAAGGTGGCTAAAATATTTTTTGTTGCAGCCTCCCGTCCACAGCAGGACATTGCTTAGCTTCAGTGTCAGACTCCAGCCTGCTTCTCCAAACTGGGTATGCACAGACTGACATCTACTGTAGGTAATACACAGACTATGGATAAGCACCCCACACAACATAACCTCAAAAACCCAAACTATCCCTTTAAGAAAAGGGCAAAGTGGCGTCACACTTCAGGGCTCGACAGTGCGACTAAAAATAGGTGTGTGCGAACTGAAAAAAATATTTAGGGGCACATATGCGCATAAAAAAATCAGCCTATATTTTTGTCAATAAAAAAAATATGATAATCTAACCGCAAATGTTGGAGGAACTCCAGCCGCCTTCCCTCTTCCCTCTTCCTTCTTCCCTCTTCCCCGTGTTACACGGTTATAGGCGGTTTTCCAAGCCACTGTCGGCACAATGAATATCGTGCGCGACGCCAAGGGTAGCGGTGTCGCTTTGTCCGGCGTTGCTGCCCTCTCCATAGACAAACAATGGGACAGCCAGCGCAAAGCGGTTTTACAGCTGATCATGTGTAGAGGCCTTTAGGGACCGTTCGCCACGGTACCGCTGCTGGGCAGGGTGGAAATAAAGCCTTTTCACACAGAGCGCGCAAAGCGCAGACCTCCGCCGATGAACCCATTCATTGTGTATGTGCTACCGCTGCGCAAGAGCGCACCGCTCTGCCGCCGAGCTACCGCAACGCACTGTGATGACACCTCGGCGCCGCGCATCCAATAGCAGAGAATAGCCTGAAGTAGTGGTCACCATGGAGCTGTAGCTCCTGAACGAGCCTATACTCCCCAAATCCTGTCCTCTGCGCCCTACCCCGCGGTGGGCGCCGCGAAAGCTCTGTGTGAAAGAGGCTTAAGTCCTGCAGAGTTTCAGAGGACCTGGAGAATGTTTAGGATAGTAATAACATTATATAAGATAATCATATTGCAAAGATAATATATATATAAGATAATAACATTAAAGACAAAATTAAATTGCAATACTTTTTCAAAACTTGATGATTTTACCTTTCTGTACATTTTGTATACAAATTCATTAAATAATTTTGCTTGTAAATGTCTATTTGCATCATGTTTATTACGGAAAACACATTATTTGATCAATTTACATTGTGCCCCTAAAGTTCTTTGTGCGCTCCTTACTTTTTCAACTTAGGAGCACATGTGCTCCTTGGGAAAAAAGTTAGCGTCAAGCCCTGCACTTATTCCACAGAAGATAAAAATGTTTGACTGGAGCGGATGAAAGTGTTATGAATCCATTGAAAGATAAAGATATTATCCAGAGTAACGACTGTCACTGGCTCGTCTCATTATCTCTGACAAATACACCAATAAAATAAATACACGTGAATACTGAGTTAAGTATCCTAATTTCAAGTCACATCCTGGCCATATCCTATTTGGCATTCAATGGAGCATGAAAAACCTGGTTATTCACATCCCTGTTTACATGACTTCTCTGCGGTTGTTTACATGTGCAGAAACAGAATCTTTATTATAACCATAATACTGTTGCACATGTAAACACACTAAATGTCTCTGGAGGAAGAGACACAAATGGTGATGATGACTTTTTTTAAAAATGTAATTTAATGTTCTGAGCAGCTCAGACTAAATCCCATCACCTCCATAATATTCAGGTGGAGAAATGCTGTAAATCTCAAAGCCAGTATATGAACAATAAAATCCAAATAATTTGCACGAACAGAGTAACTATCTGCATGAACAAGTAAAACTAGAAAAGTGTTTTCTGTAGGTGTGGTGGAACTTTTAGCGGTCGACCAAATGTATTTCACACAGCACAGAAATGAATTTAAACCACTGTCTTGCAAAATAACTTTGCTGTTTTCTGGTTGTGAGGAGAAGGTGTTGAAGGCTTAAATGTGTTCATACCTAAAATGTGTGATCTGATTCTCCAGCAGAGCCATGAGTCGACCCCTGACGGCCTCAAAGTTGTCTTTCTCCTCCACGGTCACTGTCCCCATCCCATCAGGCCTGACGAGACACAAGAAGGACACACAGGACACAAGTCAGCTGTATTTCTTAGCTACAGATCACAGGCTCGAGGTATAAAACAGAAGTGGGACTGCTATATTTTCTTCTGCTAATATTCAGGAAATATCAGAAATATGCGGCTTTGCTGTAAAAATAGAATAAAAGTTGGCAAAACAGCTCCTAAAAAATATTCCAGTGGATTGTTGGGGAAGCAACAAGCTACTCCTCACTGACAGTTGATCTCCAGCTACGCTAGTTTTTTTTTCAAACAAGGTATTTTTTTTATTAGTAATTCAATGAAGATGTATTATGAGCAAACACAGAGTCAGTAAGGACAAAAAGGCGACCCCACCCACCCATCAACCCAGGAACAAACAGACACAGCCAGACCAGTCAAAGGAAATTTAACAGAGAAGAAAATATATATAAATATAAAACAAGTATTGAAAAAAGGGAAACATGGCGACAAATTAATATGTGTGACATAAGCAGGAGAGCACAGTGTGTTTCAGTACAGTTTTTCAGCTTCTATATTTGCCACAAAAGTTAGAAATAGTTGCCAGGTGGCAAAGAAGCATGCAGCTGATCCTTGAATAAAACAACAGATTTGCTCCAACTGTAAATGATAAAAACATCCTTAATCCAGTGTCCACATGTTGAAGGTGAAGAGTCCTTCCATTTACACAGAAGAAGAGGAGTTACTCCAAATATTGCCATGGACACAGACGGGGCAAAAGCAGCAGCAGTTTTAAATATTAAATCCCAGAAATGAAACAGTTTGGGACATGACCAGAACATGAGACATAAAGTGGCTGAAGACTGTTTACACCTGTCGCACGTAGGATCAGGATCACCACTGATCACCACCAACCGAGCTCTGGACCAGTGGAGTTGGTGTCCAGTCTTAAACTGAACAACAATGTGTCTCAGACAAACAGAGCACAAATACAGTTTTTGAATACCTTTACGCCACACCCCGTCTGATATCTGCTCTCCAACATCCTCCCATCTCTGCTTCAAAGCTGAAGGATTATGCGCACTGAGCAATTCACAGATTTGACTTATGGACTGTTTTTTATCTGTGTTACATTCAAGAACAGACAGCAACACACTTTTATTACTACAACTGCTCGGGAAAAGTAGCTCAACACACTGACACGATCTTGCATCAAGTGTTAGAACAAGGATCATCTACTGCTGAGTCATTTAATAAACACATGCACGATTACTTCATGGTGACATTTATCACACTGCAAAGCTGTCGAGCTGATAGAGACAGCTCAGGCGCACTGTTAGACCGCACAGCACAATATCCAAATAAATGTCAACATGTGTTGACATTTATTTGGATAAAAAATAAATAAATAAATAAATAAATGTCAACATGTGTTGTCTTTCTTTCCTCCTCTGTTGAGTTGATTATTATTTGAAGAGTGTACTGTCTGTTAATTATGTGTATATATTTTTTAAAGCATTGCAGCTATTTTTGGCTCTGTGCCTGAGTGGTTGGCCCCGCCCACAGTGAGAGGTCAGCTCAATGTGAAGGTGAAGGAGACCAGCTTTGAAACCAGCTCTACAGAGGGACAGGCTGTCCGTCATGTCTTCTCTCTGCTCTGTATCGTAAAACCAATCAGCTGCTCGATTCTGTCCTGATTCTGAAGATGGAGATGAAGTTGTGGATCACTTGTGAGCTTTAAATAAATAGTTTGCTACTGGGAAATGTAGTTTAACTGTGAGCATCAGTACATGTAAAGCTGCAGAACAGAGTGCTTTAAAGACGCTCCACTTCATGATGCCATCTGATCTGTGAGAGAGGCGTGACGCAGCTGCATCCAGTGGACATGAGGAGTCACTACTCCGCTCATTCTAATTATAGTCGCTTCTGCTTTGCAGCAATTATTTTCAGACAGATACTTTCTTCATCCCCATGGGAAATTCTTGTATCCAGTAGCTCACATAAAATCACATAAAAACCACAACAATAAATAATGTGCCAATAGAAATAAATAAAGTAAAAAAAAGTCTCTAAGTAACTATTTATTAACTAACTCACTCACTAACTCACAAAGGTGAGTACTGGGGGGTGTTACAGAGTCTGATGGCTGTGGGGACGAAGGATCTCCTGAAGTGTTCAGTCCTGCAACACGAGGAAACAAACTGATCACTGCAGCTGCTTCTCTGTCCTGCCATGATGTTGTGGAGAGGGTGGCTGCAGTTCCTGAGGATGACCTGCACCTTGCTCCGTGCGCGTCTCTCCACCACAGTCCCCACTGAATCCTGGTTTGGACATTGGATTCTGCCAAGTACCGAACCTGCCTTCGCAATCAGCTTATCCAGCCATTTCCTGTTCTTCACCATCATGCTGCCTCCCCAGCAGACAACACTTGTTCGTTGTTAAACTAGCAACAATAAAGCTGACAGCAACTTCCTGCAGATGTTTTTCTAAAAAGGTCTCCAGGACATCAAGTGATCATATTCCTTTGAGCTGTTGGAGAGCTTTTATTTGATGTGAACCATCAGTGTTGAGGTTCATTTACAGAAGCTTAACAGCAACTGAAAAAACAAGTCAGGTGAAGTAAATTTCAAATCAAATCATAACAAGAGTTATCTAAGGACACTTATCATATAGATCAATTTACAGATCAATCAATCACTTTATTTGCCACATAGAATCATACAAGCTACAACTTAACAGTTACAGTTAAATGTAAGTTCATCGACCCAACAATTCCCAACATGAGCAAGAAAACTGGCGATAGTGGTCAGGAAGAAGTTCCTTGCAAAGTACTGAAAGTTATTTGTGAATGAGATCAGTATATCTGTTAAACATGCACTGTAAACCTGAATTCATCTAAACGTTACCTGGAGGAGCTGTATACGAGAACGCAAACGCAAATTTTATACAACGTTGATTATCAGGTGTAATCTGCATGTTTTCACCATTTTAGTTCATATTTAGTAACTTTTGTACTTAACTTACTTCTATTGTTGCTCTGTTAGGCACTGCTTTTTGCTTTTTGCTCCTTAAACACATTATATCTTGTATATTTTCAATATTCTGACAGATACTTAATACTCGTATTTAAGGCTGCTGTCAGCCCTAGAGTGGTCTCCTCTGGTCTGAATCAGGGACTCATGTTGTTCCAAAGTTGTATAATTGCCTAGAGTTGGTTCGTGTTCTCACGGCAGCATTTACAAGAGGACCAGATCAAATGCCTTGTGTGAGAAAGCTGCTCTTGATTGGTCAGAATTCCCATGTGGGAAAAATCCAGGAAGTAAAGCAAACGTTGAAGAAGAGTACACTTGCAAGATAAATGTGACACTTTCTAATGTCACAATGGAGGGACAACTACGCAGGTTGATTTTAGCGCTGCTCATCGTGGACTATATTGCTGTCATTGTTCATTTTAGTCAAAACATACAGTTTGAAAACGAGGCGCGGCTCCAACTAGAAAACAATGTTTTGATGCATTGGATGTGCTGAATGTGCATATTAAGGCAGTACAGGAGGAGGTGCACATTAATAATCCTCCAGGACTGTAACATGCTCATGTTTAACCCAAACAATGTGTCATGTGACTGCAGTTGCTTCACATCCAGGTCGGAACACCTTCTCACCACAAACCAACAGCACCAGAGTTCCATTGGAACCGGACCGAGACCACCTCGTTCCAAATGAACCGCACTGAGGGGACAAATGAACTCCAGTTCAACTGAACCAAACCAAGCAGTGCAGGTGTGAAAGCACACTAACACTAGGCCCACTATGTGACCCTGACCCAAGGAACCCACTGCTTGTTCTGGTTGTTACTGGTTTGTGATCTTTAATTTTTGTTACTGTAATTTGAAAAATTCTCTGGCACAAGAATTTCATTAAAAATAAAGTTCTATTGAATGGGATTGAAATGTCTGAATCAGTTGGATCGGACATTATGAGGACTTCATCCTGTCAGCCTCATAGTATAAAGTCTGTGTGATGAGTGAGCCCGTGTTTGAATAAGGCATGTTGATGACAACAAACATACGGGGGTCAAAAAGAAGGGTCATCTATACAAAGATGGCAACAAAAATATTAAACTGGAGAAATGAAACGGGCTGTAGCAGAAAACAATCAGTCAAATAAAAGGAACGGCAAGAAAGTTTATGACCACATCGCAAACCGGCTACATCCTGCCTCCTGCACGGTCAGCCCAGGTACCATCCCTCGCCTAAACCTAACAGAGTATTTCCTGTAGGTGAGAATGGTCTGACACAAGCAATCTGTTGTGTGCTACATTTGAAAGAGACGCTCCGTACAATGTCTGGAGTTCATAAGAGAAAATGACTGTGGGAAATATGTATTTATTTACTATATAGTGAATACACACATATGAAAAAGAAAAAAAACCCCTGTATGATAAAGTTGCCCTCGAGACACGTTGAAAAGTATCTAGATATACTCTGCTATGATTAATATTTAGAGAAGTTTAAAAACAAAAACAAAAACAAAACTCTAAATAGTTGCTGACTGGTGAAAAGAGCAGTGCACGTTAGGATGGCTGGTGTTAGCATTAGTGTTAGCGAGGAAACACTGGAGGGATACGAACAAACATGCATCTCAGGGTCTTGATCAAAAATGAGGGTAGAATGGAGCGTGAGATGGATCAGTGGTTTCGTGCGGTGTCTGCAGTGATGCAGGAGCTGCGCCGGACCATCGTGGTGAAGAAGGAGCTGAGCCAGAAGGCAAAGCTTTAAATTTACTGGTCCATCTAAGTCCCAACCCTCACCTATGGTCATGAGCTCTGGGTAGTGACCAAAAGAATGGGATCGTGGATACAAGCAGCAGAAATGAGTTTCCTCTGTAGGGTGTCTGGGCTCAGCCTTAGAGATAGGGGGAGGAGTCAGACATCTGGAGGGAGCTCAGAGTAGAGCCGCTGCTCCTTCATGTCCAAAGGGGTCAGTTGAGGTGGTTCAACATCTGATCAGGATCCTCCTGGAGGCCTCCACTTAGAGATGTTCCA